CGGGCGGGGGGCGGTCTGGCCCGCAGGAAGCGGCGTGAGCGCCCGCTGCCGTGCGCGGGTGTCCCCCGTCCCCGTCCCTCCTCCTCCTCCTCCTCCTCCCTGCAACTGCCCCGTCGCCGCGGCGAAGCTGCGGGCGGGCGGCCGGGGTGCGGTGGTCTGACCGCACCTTTCCCATAGGCAAGAAGTGCAGTTGCTGCGACGCCTGAGCCTGTCGCCTTAAAAAGCGTTTAGTTACCGGTGCTGAAGGGAACTGCTCCGTTTCAGACGCCCTGCTGAAGTTCTTGCTTGCTTGGGACTGTGCTCGCCTGCTGATCCGGTGAGATCTCGCACTAGCTGTGGTTGGTAAGCTTATTCAGAGCTCCTGGGCTGAAAGAAAGCCTTTGACGTAACAGAACTAAACCATGTGCAGAAAACAGCCAGGCGATGCCTAAGAATGAGGATTAGTTTAAAAAGCTATTGCCTTGGCAAGGGTATTGAACAGATATTGTGTTATTGCATCCGTGTTAATTGCTACTGAGCAGACAGTAACTTTATGTTAGATAGGTGCTTTCACATGAAGTGCCATGAGACTGTCATAGAAGCGTGTTCAACTTCTAGAACCCTTTACCTGATGATTAAAATGACTCCTTTTAGATAACGTCAGCCGTGCTTCTAGTACTGCAGCTCTTTCTTCCTGGAGCAGCTCCTGTCAGTGCAGTGTGTTGTGTGGGTTTGTAGACAGGTTCCGTCTGTTTGTGCGGTTTGGTGCATTTTGTCCTCCTTCTTTACAAGCATCACTTCATAATGTGTGCTTGCTGGGACATGTAAGAAGTCCTCCTAAGCAGGTATCATCCTTTCCTACAGGAATCTAGTTTTCATTGCTAGAGGGAGATCTCTTGAAATACTAGCCAGTGCTGTGATTTTTACCAACCTTACTCTTTGTCAGGAATAGAAAAATTCCTATGCAACCAGTAGCTGCTGACTCAGCCTTAACATTAAATTGGGCAGTGCCAGTACTGCTTTAGCTGCTTGTCAAGCTGCAGCAGAGTGAAAACCAGCCATGTTCTGGTTAGTGTGTATTGTCGCTGTTCTGGGCTGTGTACGTGCCAGGAGGTCTCAGCAGGAGAAGAAATCAAAAGCAAAAATCAAAGAAATCAAAGCAAAAGCAAGTGGGTCTTATCAATAGTGCTGCCCTGTGGTCAGGGATGGCGCTTTAGGTCTTTGTAGACCGCTTTGTGAGAAAAGCAGCTTTTTTTTTGCTTGGACTCTCTCCTAGCATTTGGGTAAAGTTGGTAGTCTGTATATAAGTAGTTAAGTGGCCTTTCATGGTTAAGTATTCTGCAAAACTCCCTTAAGCAGGTGTGCAGGCAGAATGGTAACCTGGGCTCTCTACTCTGTGTTGGAAACAAACCCTGCGTGAAGACAGACGCTGTAATAGCGTGAGAAGATCACTCTGGCATAGGTCTCATAGACAAAGATAAAAGCAGGACATCTTAATGCTATTCTTTATACCTCCTTAAAGGATAAGATTCAATTAGCAGTCAAGTACTGCTCCGGTAGTCCTAATGAGTTCAACCAAAGTGCCTTGCAGTCACATCTCGGCTGTATAGGAGGCACTAAATATTGTTCTTGTGTTGTTTTCTCATGGTACGCCAGTGACTGTAGAGACTACCATACAAGCCGTTCAGTAGCACAAGGCATAAAGATGAGCTGTGGAAGGCAGTTTAACCTATATCAGCTGCTTAACGGAATAAGGTAATACTGGCAACACCACTGACTGAACAGATGTCCACTCTCTTAAGTGGCTCGTAGCTTTGCATATAGGCAGCATGTTTCATATAGATTAACCTGTTAGTAGTATCTTATGGCTAATAAATCCAAATTAAGCTGTTAGGTTTCTCCCTCAGTGCTGCTGGTCTGGCTCGGCACACCAAAACTGGTGGGTGAGGATTGGGGAGTTCTCTTGGCGGTGGGTCATGTGACCAAATAAACTCCTGCCTGCAGGGGAATGCAGGTGGACGACCTACAGCTGTAAGCGCATAGCATCTGAGTGCCCGTGTATTGATTTCTTTCCGTACTCTAAACTTGCCACTCAAACTTTTGTTGGTGGTCGCTCATCTCCATTATAGAGCAAATCCTGTTGCTTGAAACAGCATTTTCAAGATTATGCTAAGTTCTGTTAAGACCACCTTTGCTGCCAGCTTCATTTAGGCACTTCATTTAGCTTGTTAGCTAAAACTTTAGGTTCTGTATCACTTGTCTGATGAGTAACTGCACACAGATTCACTTTCCAGCCCCAATTGTAGGAACATTTTCATGCGAATGATCCTTCTAACTATGACTAATAGCCAGACAGTCATTCTTCTGCATCATTGCATGCTTTAAGCTTACAAAGTGTATTTGAGATTGGAGGCTTGGCCTAAACAGCGAAGTCTTTGGGAACTAAAGCAGTGAAGCAGACAGACCTTTCTTAGCCATGTTACTATGCATGTCACTCTACTGCTAATATTTGCTGTAAGAGTACAAACGAATCCGTCATTTTAACCTAGTGTCTATTTGGGAGGAGAAAAATCATGCAAGTAATTTCACAGTGATTCAGCTTTCTGTGTATCTTAAGCTGTTTAAGATTCTGCTCATGTATGTAACTGGCCTTGCTGCATACAAGAGTTGTGCATTTGGATCAGCTTCTTGGTTCCCTTCCCAAGCAGTCTTTTCTTCCTTCTCATCAATATCAAATGGAAACCACAAGTTCTTAATGTGTTGAAAGTGCATTGCTCTTCATACCTGCTGTGTATGTGGGATGTTGACAAATGATACAGGAGGTAATGACAGGAGTGTGTTTCTCTCATCTGAGGCATTTGAGAGATCGGTAAAGAAATATTGTGTGGGAGGGGGTGAAAATGAAAGATGAGCTTTGCTGATTCCCGCCCCCCCCCCCATCCCTGATGGGTAGGCCAGCAAAATGAGCTCTAACTATCCTTTTAGCTTTTGTCTGTACGATTCTCAGTGCTGCATTCTGTGTCCCCCTGAAACAGTATCACTCGGCTTCAGAGAAAGTATTACAGACTGATTATACATTAACATATTTGATTTTGATCTTTCTCTAGATGCTGTTAGAACTGAGTCACTGAGGAAAATTATACCTGCCCCAGTAACAACAAACTCTGCTGTGTTGCCTCAGAGAAGTGGATAGACTCCTGTTTAAAGGAGAAGGTAGCTTCAGGGCTTGAAGGGTTACTAGAAGGACTAGTACTGTTTTTTTTTTTTTTTTTTTTTTTTTTTTCTAGTAGAACTGAAAAGCAGGCACAAACAAGAGTGTTGTCTAACCACTGCTGGAGAAAGCATTTGTATCCTGTGTCTGTGGTAGACTGCAGGTGACTGATCCAGTCTGTTCTTCTGAAACATGCTAGAAAGGGCTTGCTTAGTCTCTCTGTCAAATTCTTTGAAAATGGATTCCCTGTTTCCCTTTGCTCGTTGAGCAAAAGGTAGGGAAAACTCTCTTCTCTGTATTGTTAGTGCTTTGGCAGTCTGTCCTGTTCTAGGCTTCTGTCTCAGTCTTGAATATTACAAGATCTGTCACTTACAGGCTTATTATTGCTTACCCAGTGTTCTCACTGTCTCTTTTCTTGCTGAGTGACTTCTCATCTTACATTAGTCAAAGAGCTCCCTGCATCTATTTTAGCTGTGAGTGTGTGTGGTGCAATCAAGCTGCCTGTCCAATACAGCAGAGTGTAAACAGTTTGTCAGACCAACCAAAACCTCTGCTAGTATAGGAAAGCTAACTATGTGAGGCCAGTAGTGTTCTTTGCAGTCATTAACTGACTTAGAAATCTAGATTCTGCAGGATCTGGTAAACCTAGTGTGTCAGGTGAAGTTGCTGAACTGAAGACACTAAATTTGGGCAACCTCTTCTCTTACTGTTGTTTTTAGCAGCAATAAGTTGTGTATTACAGCACAGTCTTTTGAGTCTGCTTTTAAAATCGCTTCTTGACACCTCTTAAAAACAGTGTATTTAAATGGGACATTAAAGTTGGGTTTTGCCTGTGCTGAGCTGTGCTGCGTTTGGGCCTAGTTGATGTAATGGCATTTAAAAAATAAAAGGCAAAAGAGCTTCAGATTGTGATTCTGTCAGTGTGAAAAGATTGGTCAAGACATTACTTAATAACTGTATTCAGTGAGAGACCTGGTAAGTAGCAGTATCACGTGCCCAAAGGTCTCAGAGAGCTGTAAAAATAACCATGATAACAGGTTTTGCTTTCTTCATTCTTTGAAAGATGTAAATGCACCTTTTTTGTAGTTCAAAAGCAATGGTAAGATGAGAATTAGCTAGTTATGCTTTACAGTCGCATGTTAACGTCTTTATATTGTACTATTGTGCTTAAAGATAAGGTCAAATCTACAAAGTTGTTGAGTATCTGATTCCCCTTCATATCAAGGTTGGAGGGGGCTCAGGTATCTGAGTTCAAGAGCTGATCGTACAAGTCACTGATGGATATCTGAGGACCTCCATGTGAAGGTGTATTCTGTTCCCCAGGGTTGGCAGTCAAAATAAGCCTCAGTTAATTCTGAAGAAATACTTGGGCTAAAAGGCATATGTCTTGTTTGTTTGTTTGTTTTTTTATTTGCCTCTGGAAACCTTAAGGGGTAAAGGTGAAAACCTTATGAGGAAAAAGTAAATGCTTACTGGTTATGCTTGTAGCAAAGCTTGCCTCCTTTGTGGCATACAGTTCCAACTCTCAAGCCACACTTAGAACCTAGAAAACTGAGAAGCAAGAAAACACAGATATTTTGTTATTTAACTGCTTTGTTTGTATGAAGAATTTTAATGCCTCTTAGTGGCATGTCTGGGTGGGGGACCCTTGAAAACAGCTTGCCCATTAAATGTGTTCCACATAAGAAATAATTGTGTTTCTCATACCAATGTTAATATTAAATAAGGGAGAAAAGTGACATAATATTAAGCCATAACTTATAGCAGCATAAGAGATTGCAAAATCGGTTCTTTCATGTCTTTATTAGAGATGAGTACTGAAGCAGAACAGCAGCTTCTCCATGATGCTAGAAATGGAAATGCTGAAGAAGTTAAACAGCTGTTGAATACCATGAACAAAGGAGAAATAAGCTTTGATATCAACTGTAAAGGTTAGTAGCCTTCCTCAAATGTTTGTCACCTCACTGTTAAAGCCACAGGTAGTGAAACATACTGATAGTATAACTTTGCTTTCTTTGGAGCTCTCAACAGAGTAATAAAAACCACTTATACAACTGCTTTTACCCTGTGATTCTTAGGCCATACTTGTGTAGGGGAGAGATCATAAAAGCAGACTACAGATAAATGTAATGTACAGAAAACCTCAGAGTAATTCACAGAAGCTAGAAATGTCAAGACAAAGAATCAGTACCTCTTTCTGCCTGTGTTCATGCTTATGCCAACTTTGGAGCTTTATAATATTAAACAAAACAGACCATGGTGCCAGGGAATGGTTCAAGGAGGTAAAGAGTCTCCAGCAAGGCAGCAGAGAAGATTCGGTAGTTTAATTGTGCTCTGCCAGGTGTGATTTTTTTTTTTTTTTTTTTTAAAGGCCTATGTTTCATTATCATGTAGTAGGAGCATCTACATCTCTTGCCACTTGCCGGAATGGTTGGAACAAATGTGTACTTCTTACTACTAGCAGTATACTAGGTTACTTGGGAAAAGAAAGTAAAACTGCCAGTCATCTGTGTGTCTGTGTCTTTGGCCAACATTAAAGTTTTGCAGATGCATAGCTAACATAGTTATGGCTAAGCAACTTGCTGAGCATTAAAACTCCAAACTGGGGCTGGATTTGCAACCTTGTTAGCAGTCACAGACTGCCCTATTTCTTTATTCATTTAGTAACTTTCTATTTCTCTTTATTTACATGACTGTGTTTCTGGTTGCTTCAAAAAAGTGCATGCGTATCCCACTCTTTCTGCATGGGCTGGTATTTCTTTGTTCAGCATTTAACTGTTAAGCATCACTGAGAAGATAGTGCTGCAAAGGGAGAGGGGAGAGAGCAACTATGCTTCCTCTCAGCCATGACAGAGGGAACACCTTGCCCTAAAGAGCAGGAAAGCCTGTTATCTGAACAAGCTCTATCCCTTTCCCAACTCTAGTTCTTAATCATCAGTTTAGTCAACCTTTTGTTTGACTACTCAGTCATGTCTGTGTTTTCTCGATAGTTAATGTGCTCACCTCTGAAAAACAAGTTGTAAACCCCAAATCATTGATACTTCATCTTCAGGGAGCTAGTTCATAATTTAAAGGGGGAAACTAGACAGAGCTCGATGGATCTAGAGTCTTCCACCCTCACAAGTATGTCCTTTGCAAATATTCATGACATTGTGTGTAGTGCCTAAACAGCTGGAATAAAAATACCTTAAGATTCATGCAGCAGTATCCATAAATAAGTTGCTGGAGTCTCTTGTGCTTAAAAGAGATTTCAGAGCTTCTCAGGTGTGTTCTCAAACATAATCTGAAGTCAAGAAAGCATAATGAAATGGCATAATCTGCAGTCCTGTATTATATCAAGCAGACTGGTCTTTTGTCAGCAT